TAGTATACACTATTGTTATATTCTTATGACATGTACTCTGATGATATTTATATTATTCTACCTAGTTATTTGACATATACAGGCACTATGAAGCAAGTGAAAGCCCCACTGCTGAGCCGTTTATTGTAGTTGCAATCCTATTGTGGGGCTCACTCTCTCCATTGGACAACCACTGTTGACTTGGTAGCCGTTTTATCAGCCCCGAATGGAATGATGAGCCCCGTCAACAGCCCCACCCAACCGGATCTATAGAAAATAATCATAAATGCCACTAATTCTAGATTTGAAGCTTTCGTGACTGCAAGGATTCATACTCTTTGGTTTTTTCGGTAAAGTCACGTAGGTAAAAAAGAAAACAACTACATTAAATCTTCACCTGAAGGACGCTTGTGTTGCGCCCGAAACGTCGTGATTGAATGTAGCTGGCAAAATATTTATTTATTTTTCCCTACGTGACTTTACCGAAAAAAAAACCAAAGAGCATAAATGCCACCGTTGTAACTAAAATGAACACAGTAGCTGCACTAGACTATCTAATTGCATTATGTGCCATAAACAAATAATAAAGCTATCAACCAACAGACCTGGACAATGAAAAAAATATGCATTGTAAAATACAATACTCATATGTTCGAGGCCATAAAGTTCAATATTTGCTTTTGGAATTTGCCATGTAATCTTCATTCACCACGGTCTGCTCTATTGCTCCGTTAGCACACGTTACCGGAGGTCATTCTTATGTTTATCAATTCGCAGTGCAAGTAAATGTGGTTCATGTAGACAAGAGTCGACTTGAATTCCCTGGGGCCCTCTTTACAAAGGGGGTCACCTTCATGGTCTATCCACTCGCTCATCAGAATGCATCAGTCGCGAGCAGTATTATTGCCAACGGAGGCAATTGACATAATTATGCGTCCATATGTACGTCCATTCAATTGTGGACTCTTGTGTTACATTTACACACGTGTGTGTGTGTGTGCGTGTGGACATTAGCATTCATTACAACTGTACATTCCTCAATCCTCGAAATTTGTTGTTCATCTGGATTCCTGCATCCACAGTATCCAGAGAATTTGCAATATTGCAGACACCACTAATCTGAATACATTTGATGGAACTTCATTGTGAATGCAGTGAAATGCATGCGCTCATGTATAATGTTTCCTTGTGATGCTGTGTGATCGATAAAACACAGCTGGCCCTTGCCGTAGAAATGTGGAATGTTTCCCCCCTTGTTCAGGACTGTCATTTATGAGCACCATCCCATGCTCAATTCAGCGGGGAGTTTCTTTGACATATTGAGTAAACTATGCTAGACGAACTCGTATCATGGTGTAATGCCTTGAATATACTAGGACAGCTGGAGACAGTTGATATGTTACAGTTATCACTCACAGCCATCAACACCCTTTGGTGCTGTTCTCATGAGAACTCTGCCCATTGACCACCTGTACCATAAATAAATTAAATAACGCGCTAGCTCCCAGGGGGTGTTCAGTAGGAACCGTGTTCCCAGATATAATATACCAATCGCTTTGCACACGATGTTGGCACTGCTGGATCACCATCGGCAGGAGACTATTGTAATGTTTCATTCTCAGCCAGCTGATGCTAGTGTCCTGCCCTGCTGCATGAGCTGCCTCTCATTCTTGGGGTAGCAACACGTCATGGAATGGTGGCGTCTCGGGTAGAACTCTGCTCACATGCAAGGGGAGTGCCACAATGTGGGTGGAAGAGAGTGGCTGCCCATAATGCCAAACTCAGCGTTAACCTGACGAGCAAGCGCATCCTCAATGTGAGTGCCCAGTGGGTAGCAGCAGGGGCGCAGGCCAGGGTGTGGCACAACAACGACAAAAACGCTGTGAACCGGTCAAGGGCTCTCAGAGGGGGACCAAAGCAGGCTCCGGGGAGGTCCTTCCCTCAGTGGGTTTTCGCCGGTTATGAGTACCGGTGGCCTGTCATATCCCTGAACCCCGCATACCACCTTTCTCAACAAACAAATGAATGCTGCCAATTTTTGCCAGTCATAGCACATTCATGGCCTGTGTCGGCAGAAATACATGATGACAATGATGATGCAGAAGTACGATTCATAATTGCCCTCTTTTTGGGTGGTGATGAAGACGATGATGATGGCAATGGTTACATATGAAGAAGGTGATGGATAATGATGACTGTGACGGATGGTGCTGGCCACCCACCCCTTCATTTGTCGTGCCGGCCATGGTAGGTGCTCGCTAATAGTGTGAAAAGGTCGTCAACATAGCGTGCAAATGTTCATATACACATTTATTTTGTTATTTTGTGAATGTTTTTCTCTTGTAATCATTTGTATGTGGATATGATCGTTCAGGTAACATCCAAAACCGTTTGACGTCTCTCTAAGGGATAAATTAACACACTTTTTATAGCATAGCGTCTACAAATCAGTACATGAGACTGTTCTATCTCACCAGAGCGTGCATATGAGAGAATTTCTTGGGAGTTCATTTTGTTCTCACGATGCTGATGAAATATTTGCCCTCACTGACGTTGCCTTGTGAGAGATTTTGCAACGTTGAGGCCGAAGTGCAGTCGAAGCTTTGCGTGGGCACGGCCATCCGTGGTTGCACAGATGGCCGTGCCCCCACAAGGTGGGGGGGGGGCAGTGCAGGAGGAGTAGGCCTTGTCCAGAGCCCGGCTTCAGCACCCGTGGGAGAACACAAACCATTCCCCCGCTCCCCCCCAGCTCTGTGCTTCCGCCTGCTTCAGCAGGGTTGTGTGCTGCCTCTGTTGATAATGTGTACGCATAGCGTGGTGTTAATTCCATTGATCTAGTTTAAATAATATGATAATTTGGTCTTGCCGCCCCCCCCCCCCCCCGACCAAAATATTTTTTCTTATTCTACTTTACTTGCTTTTGATTATGATGTGAGTTGATGGTCTGACATGATAATTTGACTCTTTAATAAAAAGAGGGGGAATAGCCTAATAATTGAATGATTGCCATATTTGCTCCTATTTTATCGTGTATGTAAATTAGTTTTTATATATATAAAGCAACATAACAGCATGGTCTTATCAAATGTTTATCATTTGTTTATTTTGGGTGCAAATAAATGCTGATATTTTAGCAGTGAAATCTCATAACATTAATTATTTAAGCACATTTCACTCCTCAACGTAAAACATAGCTTACCGTAGGAATGAAATATGTCCCAGAAGGGGTGACGCTGGAATTTGCCCTGGTATCCTTCAATGGCCGGGTATCTTTGCCAGCAACCACCACAGACTGCATCTTATTAATGGGTTTTCTTGCCGCTCAAGGGAGGGCTGGCGGGTGGGCGGATGGGGGCTGGTGCGTGCAGGTGGCTGTGTGAAAGCAAAAGGTCCTCTCCACTCAATGCTGGCGCAAAGTGCTCTTCTTACATGCACTCCTAGGACCCTAAACCAACCTAGCCACTGAACACAGTTGAACTTTTATCAGCATTGTAAATCGCGTGGTTTTTTTTAAACTGTCGATAGTCAAGAGCTGTTGCCTGTGAGTTCGTAGAGCACAGCCGCAAGTTTGGAATACATTGGGTTGGGGTCAATAACGGTCGCTTGTGTGCATCGTAGGCAGAAGGGAGTGAAGATCGGCCAAGTCTTTTTTTTTCTTCTCATTTTGGCAAGTTCTGAAAAGTTCTTCGCCTTGGATAGAATGCGACTGCACCGTGGCCCTCAATGGCATCTCCCTGAGCTGCTCCCACCGCTAGGCATGATAGTGAGATGAACATGAATAGTGTTTTGTTCGCTATTCAACCGGCAGCTAAAGTAAGCATAGGACATTCGGAGGGGGGGGGGGGGGTTTGCTTAAAATACACAAAGCCATTTTTCAGCCTTCGACTTGAGAATAAATGTTTATTTACGTTGCTGCAACTGAAGACAGTTTTTGTTCGTTATGTTCGTGATGTACAGCTGCCATGGTTAGAGTACGCGATTTTATTCATTGAAAAGTTTCCACGAATGCAAAGCACACCATCTAGAAACATTCATTTAATTGTATTGTATCCTGTAGTTTAATTTCCAAAATAAATTGAGCTGGCGTATCACCTTGTGGGTGATCCACTTACATTTTTATTGTTTAAAGTATAAGAATGATTATTATTACTTCAACTTCTTGCATGTTCTAATAATGTAAATAGTCGGTGGATAATCAATATATAGGAATGAGTTCATTGCGACATGAATAATTTGAGTAAGGCATATTTAGTCTGCCGTCAATAATTTGCATGTGACTGATTTGAAAGACCATTAGGCCTAACCAGACCGATAGATAGACACACCGCAGAAGGAACTGCTAATGATGAACACCTATTGTCGACTGTTCTGTTTGATACGCTGGAGAGAGACTTGAAGGAATAAGATGAAAATCAGACCTACTCTTGTCATTATAACTAGGTTAATATATATTTCCTTCCAGAAGTGAACATAGCAAAGGCTGGTTATCAAAAATCTGACTATTGCCGTCCTGGTCATCTGATAATCATAATACTGTAGTCCACAACTGATATTTCGCATTTACTGAATGGGAAAGATTAGGTTCAAGGCATTGATATTTTGCATTCAATTCTAACCGTCAACACTCTAATTGGATGTAAATTGGAGTTTCCATTTGTTCTCAGAGCTCCGCAGCTTTAGAAATACAAGCCTAACATCGGTTCTTTACATATCATATTTTAAATAACAGCAATAGGCCACCATTTCTTTCAATTTATGTCTGACTTTTGTTGAAGAAAATGGCAGTGAAAGTGCATCGAATTAATATCATCAATGAGCCATTAACTATCGTATGTAACATGCACGATGGTATGAAGCTAGGGCAAGTACTATTGCTCAAACTTCCAAGTTGCTTTCTTTAGAAACGTTGTATTTCTTAGCAATTTAAAGTTGCCATTGATATTGTTCTGTTAGACGGATCTGCACACTTGTCGCAGTGTTCAATAAATCTTCCTTCCTCCCGTTGGGTTTGTTTGCCACAGGCGTTTGGAAATGCCAAGACGGCTCACAATAACAACTCCAGCCGATTTGGCAAGTTCATACAAGTGAACTACTGGGAAAACGGCATCGTGCGTGGGTAAGTACACACCTCTCAGACCCGTGTACCCTATTCCGGTACCTCTTGAATCAATGCTCACGTCATGTAGTAATCAATCTTGCAAAGCATCCCTTGCTAGAAGATGTCGAGATTTACTTGACTAATCTTTGCGGCTAAATTCAATGCTTTTGTTTTTGTCATTAAATTAAATATACGCTTGAGCTGAATTACACGTGTTTGCGCATGGGCTTAAATACATGTTAAGTTGTTGTTTGGCCACTGGTTCGTACAGTTATAAAATGCTTGCAAATGACATGTTTTTAGACATTTATAATTGATGGCCAATACTAAAATACCTCGCTTGATATATTAGCTATCAGTGCTTGTTCAGAAGGTTTTGGTGCCATTGTATGAAATGAGAATGTATAGGTAAAACAAATAAAATGCAGGCACTCGACCCAGTTAATTGGCCACGTAAATCACCATATAGATTGTAGGTCCTGTGAGTAGAAAATCACTTTATTCCCTGGACACCGTCTGGCAAGTTTTTACCGAGGTCTCATGTGAAAGGATACAAATAATATTTGAGCATGCTTCTAATTACACTGTAATTTAAAAGAACAATATATTTTAGCAATGTATTTGCATGCATTGTGGTTATTTGGGTAACAATGCAATTGTGGCATTGATGTAATTAAAATTAGGTTTTCTGAAAAAATAACATTCAGCGGGCCTCGCATTCATACATGCTTTTTAGTGATAGGTCTGTTTTTGCCTTTTTTGTTATATGTGTAAGTGAAAGTTTCAGATAGCGTATGAAATCGAGACGATGTAAAACATGATCTTGTCTTCCACAACCCTCCCCGACCCTTGTCAATCAGCGCTGTTGTTGAGAAGTACTTGCTGGAAAAATCTAGGCTCGTTTCCCAAGAGACAAAAGAGAGGTACGTCCTTCATGTGTTTACAGCATGAAGATGCCCCCCCCCCCACCGGCTTGGAGTTTGTTCACAAACATCGTTGGCTGTGATCGTGTCATCTGTAGTAAATTGCTCTGTACCAGTGTGCTGATATCCTCAGCACGTTACTGCATGTTGTGAGTTTACATTTATTTTTGCATAGAATATAGTTCCACATTTGTTTTGATACCGATAACAAGTAACTGCTTAGGTTTTTGTAATTGACATTTTTCAACGAAGTGTCTGCTGTGTGAACCTCCCTGGCGACATTTGGTCCACTTCTGTCATCCTCGTCATCTCTGTCAAGTTGCATTACACACATTGGATCAGTTGTTAATTCCGATTGTAAATGCTTTGGAAATTTGTAATCCTATCAACTATTGCTACTACCTTCCAAATTTGATAACGCTGATTTATTCTAGGTGAATGGGTAGCTTATGGATGTAATATTACAGCAGAGCACTTAAGTTTAGTCGTTTTCAGATGTATCACACTTTGATGGTTATTTTGGTTTATATCCGAGGTCTGCCTTTGAAAAATAGGTTGGTCGAATTAGTTAATTACGTTCATGGATGTATATTTGTGTATTCTGTATATTATTCATGTTGAAGCCTAACACAACTGGATAAAATAAAATCCTGTCTTTGTTTAACATACAAAAAATGCAAGATACACTAATGTTATTTATTAGATTACAAAGCTTTCTACAATTTTTAACAGTGTAGCTTAAAATCTGGGTCATCAATATTCACATCTGTATTTTACGACAAATTAATTATTAACGTGTTCTTTACGAAAAACCCGCCCCCCCCTCCAATTCATTTAGAGTATTAATTTATTCAATTTGTAAATTACCGGTACATCTCTTTTGGTAAAAGCAATACACCATATCATGCAGTCTGTACTGGACATCCGTGTATATATTGCACTAATTATATCCCATGTCCGCCACGCTCTGTATATCTCCCAAATGGTACGTCGGAGGAAAACATGCAACGTCACCAAAACTGCTCGTTCTCACCGAGGGCATTAACAGAAAATTGCGGCTTTTCCCAATTTCACAAACATTTTGGCCGTCCCCCCCCAAAAGATTCGAAAAATAAATGCCCCAATTAAAACGGACGGCAGCCAAAATCCTTTCGGAAGTTGTGTTTCGCGTTTTATTGCTTGGACCGTCTGGTAAGATGGTTTACCCCCTCTCGTTTATATTGAGAGGCGATGTTTAGGTCATGATGTCATCGTACCTCAAGCCCACAACGCTGTGGCTTCGGAGTGGCGATTTCTCCCTCCAGGGCGCTATGACGTCATAGCGCGGAACTTTGTCCCCCAAAGGGCACGGCGGTGACATCACCGGGCACATCTGCGTGATGACATCACCCGCATCCCCATAGCGTCGAGCTGCGTCGTGCGCGACGCTGATGTCACACCACCCCTCCCACCCTCCTCCCCTGGCCGTGTCTCCCACACAAATGGGCAGGCAGTGCTCGTCAAACATTAGTGGTTTTTAGTGGTGGCATGTATATTTGCTTCCCGTTTCTTAATGCAACAACAGGTTAGGCTATTGGTACCTGTTTAGTGATCTTTCGTCCTCTTGGAGGATTTGCATGTTTGAATGCAGGAACTGCGTGAGCATTTTTTTTATAAATCTGCCTTTTTTGAGAATATGCAAAACGTCGAGTAGAAACAATTCTGGTGTCATGGCAAAATGTAAAAAATGCCCGGTAATCTCTAAATTATCGCCGCTTTCTGAATGACCACCAGCGATAAATTAATCTCAACTGATCCGTGCAAAGATTGTTTATAGAAACAATGTTTGACAGAATGTGATAGCAAGTGTTCTGAATGGCTGATGATGCCGGTGGTGGTGGTGATATTGGCAGGAACTACCATGTCTTCTACTATCTACTTGCTGGCGCAACTCAAGAGGAGCAAGAAGAGTTCCAACTCAAACAGCCAGAGGAGTACCAATACCTGAACCAGGTGATTCTTGTGGTGACAGGACACACACACACACCGTGATGCCATTTGCGCTCTCTTGTTGGGCCAGTTCCTTGTCAAAGTATGAACGTCAGAATGATTAGATAGTGTAGTGAATCGCAAGCCTACGCACAGAGCCGTGAATGCACGGACGATGGTTCATTTCACACAGCTGGTCGGTCATAATGCGGCACGTTATTAAAGTGTGCCTTGTGCAGTGAGGTAAGTATTCAAATGCTGTGTAAATATTTGAAAAGTAGGAACATTATATTACAATTTCATAGTTCAAATTTCAAAATGGCTTCTATTAAATTATTAAATTATAATAATGGTTCTATTACTTGACTTTCACCTGCTGTCATTTTTTATTGTTATGTAAAGAACCTTGCTTTGAGGTTTCATTCTCCATTCCAGACTTATTTTTTTGGGTTTTTTTTAGTTATATTGGGTGCATATGCCACAGACTTCACTTGCCTAAGATAACACATGCATTGGTTTATTGTGAACAATAAACAATGATTACACTGAAGCAATGTAGACTTAAAAGCAAACTGCTGTTTACTGTGAGTGGATAGTTTACACCCTGACCCTTCACATGCGTGGCCTTGTAAAGATAACCAACACTCGACTGACATTCTGGGTGTCTTTCATCGCTTCTGCTGTAGAGTGCCCATTAAGATGGAGCCTGGTGGCGATTTATATTTGGACACCACTGGAGCTTATGCACTTTTAAATCTCGATTGAAAACTCATTCCTTTTTGTGTTTAGGTGTTGTCCTATCGTTATACCTACGATTAGCTATGTACGGTGAAAAACATGTTCAATTTACATACATACGATTATGTAGATTGCAGAATACTCGGTACAAATCGAAGTATAATACCGTATTGAAGTCTCCAACATGTTCCATGCAATATGAACTGTTGGAGAACATTGTGCTCGGTCATATCACATGCCGCCTTCTTAAGAACCAACCATGAGCAAGTGTAACGTTATTTTCGAGATCCATCCTTGCATTTTTGTAAACCTTATAGATTGTTTTGTTAAACCTCTAATGCCGCTACGTGTGCTTTGCTGTTAAATAATTTCACTGCAAAAGCGCTTTGTCTTGACTATACTACTTTGCTGAGGTATAGTTTTGCACATCAGTTTCAAATATGCAAGTTGTCAATCCTTCACGTTCCAAGAGAATGGATGTAACTACAGATGCATTGGAATGTAATGAGTTCACATTACAATGTTTATAGCGTTGGTGTGGTTCTACCGTGATTCTAGGCTGCCATTTCACTTTGGCGACAATGTCATTCTCAGGGATATTTTCATTGATTTATTTTCTTTTGCATGATACACTTTAACAGCCATTGGCTGGCTTGGTTTTTGCCAAAGGAATGTGTGATATTTTTGAACATACTAGAGGACGCATATTTGGAAATAATAAACAACTTTTAATCAGTACACCATCCGTGCAGCCTCTATTTGTAGCTCCAGCACTACCTTAGTGTAACTTGGTGCGGAATAATATGAAAAAAATAGTGGTTAGTATATAAATCCTGTATTATGGATGATATTGGTCGCGAAAACCTTAATGTTAAACTATAAAGAAGCTGCTAACATGAGCAACCTTTGTGCAACCTGATCCCATTCCATATATGTTCATTGGTTCCAAGTCTTGTCAGATAACCAGCCCTTTTCTAGTTGTCATCACTTAGTATTGTAGCCTTATTTTAAAACTATAGTGGTGTTCGCATTCACACAAGATTACTGTACAGCATTGTTGACACTTAGGTATATTTGTTTTTGATACGCTGCACAAGTCTATAGCCTTTAAGTTTTTACAAAGCAGTGAAACTTTGCACTTAAACAACCGCTCATTTCAAGGTATCAATCCGTGTTTCATGCAACGTCTCATGTAGCAAGTTACCCAGCTAGTTTGCAAGGGATATTTTATTTAGGAAACACAGTGGGCTAATTGCTTGATATAACAAGACTTGGACAATTCCACATCCATGTAGCACATAGGCCAGAGCTTCAAGATATTCTGTATTGGTCTATTTGATTAATGTTTTTTTTTATTGGCACAGCAGTGCTCCTAATATTCCTGTCAATGCTTCTTTGCTGCTTGCATGTGGTTACTAATATTCTGCTTTTGCCTTCATTTAAGGTTGGTAAGAAACCTCAGCAACGGGAGAGTTATTACAATGATGACACGGTTAGTATGTTTTGAGCTTTTTTTGGGAGGGGGGGGGGATCAAAATTAAGGTCATATTATCAATGCAGATGTGATTTGATCGTCTTTCTGACTAAAATGTGGGTGTTCTAAAGATGTTGTACTTTTCATTGAGCACGAAACATTTCCAATTGAAATGAGGCCAAAAACAAGGCACTTAATTTGTAAACAGAAACTGTTTACAAAGCCTGGTGTGATAAACCAACACTTATCAGCTCTAGCCTGTTGTACAAACATTAATATAAAAAAAACTGCGATTTAAAAATAAATATCTCTTGTGGGATTAAACTGATGGCAATTGGGTGCGTTGCTGAAAGAGACAGCTGAGGTTTATGTTGGCTGCGAGCCCCCTGTGGATGGCTGTTGTAGTGTAAACTGTTTTTGGCACGTTTGCTTCTGATTCTGGCACAGAACGCAATGCTTATATGGTGCGTATTTTTTTCTTCACAAAAGCAACAGAAGCAGTAGAAAAATCCCAGGAACTGTACAACTTAACCTAATATAGGCCGAACCAGAATAAGGAATTTATGGTAGAATGTTCTCTTAGCTTTGCTGAGCATGCAGAAAACGCACTTACACAGTCTAGCCTTTAAAATTAAAGTGAACAATCCTGTCTCTTTTAGTTTCCACATCTTGTGTTCAACTACATGTCAAGTGTGCACATTTAAATTATAACCAGCAAGAACGATATAGGAGATAGGGATAGAGCTTTTCTCAGAATGTTCATTGAATTAATACATGGGGGGGGGGAGTTCAATGTTTGTACATATGTAAGCCCTGATATTGTAATACATGTGACTGTATACGATTTATCGTGATAATTCTTTGTGAAATCTTATGTTTAAGTTCGTAGATTTATCACAGACCTTTTCCGGAAATTAAATAAAAGATAACGATGTTCATGCAGGCAAGCGGTGAGCTTTTGACATGTATTATCTTAAACTATATTCCATATCGTTTTTTTTTTGTAAATGTAGGTCATTTAAAGGAATACCAAGATTTAGCAGTATAAATATAGAAAAATTATAATCTGGCTTTAACTTAAGCCAAAGCAAACAGACGGAAATGTCGTATTGAGGCTCAGGAAATGTTGGTGGCATGGGAGTGCTACGTACCTCTCCACATTTAAATTCACCCTCTCCCAATTTGGGCTCAGTTGGAACACTTATGGACTATTGGTGTTTTACGTTGTCTTGTAGCCGTTGGCCCTGGTTACATTGTCCTCCACATGCGTGGAAGTCACAAATTTGTGGCAGTGGTGCTTTTGCTGAGTGGCTGAGTTTCTGTTGGTTGTGACGCAACTGGTGCAGAAGATTTATATTTCCAGGCAATGTCCAAGTGAAGAATTATAAACCATAACGATCAGATTACCTGTTTGTGTTATTTGTTAAACTAGTCCTGTCATTCAACACCCTTCATAGTGTGGTACTTTTATTCTAGTTCAGAAAGTTCTGCAATAGATTTTTGCAAATGGTGTTAATTATAAAATTTTTTTACATTCGCTTGATGTTGCTGTTCGATGTTAACTTAACAGCTAGAATTAAACAACAACAAAAAACTCCACCATACGAATCACGAGCAGTACCTTTGAATGAAAAACAATAAATATAATAGGTTGGCAGTTTCGCTCATTCACCTTTCTTCAGAGTAGACAGAGAGGGCAGCAAGATTGTCATAATAATAATAAACCCAATTTAGAGTAAATCTTGACTTAAAGCTTTCGTGACTGCAGGAATTCATATTCTTTTGGTCTTTCGGTAAAGTCACGTGACTCTACCGAAAGACCTAAAGAATACAATTTGGATTGTGCACATTTCACAAATCCGATGCATTGTTCGATCGAGAACTCGAATTTGTGCAGAACCAAAGCTCAAAAGTTCCTCATAAGTTGGCCGGAGGAGGTGGCCTTGAGTCGCTGCTTGAAGCTGGAGGGTGCTTGGATGCTGTGTACGTACAGTGGGAGACCGTTTCAAATGGCTGCTGGTGTAGCTACGAAGAAAAAAAACTATACTACCGGGTAAGGCCCACTGAGCTATATAGCTCTTTTTCAGAATCGACCTGACCACAAATAATAGCTCAACGAAGTGGCTTATCATGTGGGAAAACCGGAGGACCAGGAGAAAAATCCATGTGACCACAGGGAGAACATACAAACTCAAAATATCCAGGCGTCAGGGTCGGCATTGAACCCACAACCTCCTAGATACCAGGCGAGGTATTTAACATCTTGTCACTGGGGCTGCGTCTCGCAGTTTTTTAGACATGCTCCTGTAGGATGCGGCGGATTGCAGTGGTCAGCAGAGTGAGAAGGGTGGAGAGGTATGCCGGGGAGACCTTGAAAGAGAGCCCGGGTGGTACAGGATGGTGACTTTGTATAGTTTTCTCGATTTGGTAGGGAGCTAGTGCAACGTTTTTAACAGAAGCCATATGGCTGCAGCTGATGCCCAGGACTGTGTGTGAGAGCTGGTTTTAGAGCTGCTGTAGTTTGTTGAGGTGTTTTTTCTGATGTCCACGTAAGGATTGCGCCGTAATAATCAAGGAGAGTGCCGACTAATGGTTGGATGTCGAACTTGAGAAAATTGTGAAATGTTATATAAAGCTGACTGATTATAGATACTCATAGACAACAATTATGTGCATTGATTTATATTAACAGTAACTGAGTTTAATGAAGAACTGCACTATGTCATAGAAGAAATTCTGGATCAGCGCACATTGTTATTGTGAATGAATCGTTTCCAGGGGAGCCACGTTTCACTGCTGATCTTTTCCGTGTTATTGACTGTGAAGCCAAAACCAGTCCTACAGGTTTATGAAGGATGTAATTCTTTAAACAGTTTATCGTCATCATTTGCTATTCAGATGCATTGTCTCTACATAACTATACTCTTTGGTTCTTTCGGTAAAGTCACGTGGGTTGAAAAATAATAGATCACGATGTTTCGATCGCAACACAAGCAATCGTCATGAGGTGGGACAACCACAGCAATAAAAAAAACTTCAGCAGTGATCTATTATTTTCCTACCTACTTGACTTTACCGAAAGAACCAAAGAGTATGGATTTCTGCAGTCACGAAAGCTTCAAATCAAGATTCCACGTAACTAATTGCACATTTTAGTTTATTACACCTGAATTAAACAAGTACCTAGGCACATTTTCTGTACTAGAAGTGGTCCAAATAATAATAATAACATAGCACCAGAACCCCCTCGTTGAAATATGCAACAATATCACTGGGTCATGTCCATGCCTGACGGAAGCCATTGATGTAATCTACATGCAAGTCACTGATAAAAGCTGAGTACCAGCTATTGTTGACTGGTGTGTGTGTGGATAATAGCCGACCCAAACAGCTTCTTATCAGCTCGATACATGGGGCTAAACGGGTACGGCAGGGGCTAGACAAGAGACGGACTGATGTGGTACAGAAGAATATGAAGCTGATTGGACTTGCCCAATGACTGGTACCAGCAGTGTCAAGATCGGCCTCTGTGGAGAAGCTTCGTGAAAGATGCTGCTGATGAGTTGGAGACTGTGGTCCTCCAGCAGCAACGGAGAACGGAGAAGCGACGCTCACACCATTGAGTGGAGCGCCGGGCGGCTAAAACGTAGAAAGTTGGCACAGTGAGAGCACAGTTGGTGCATCTGCCAGCCATCTCAGTCAATCAACTCATGGCCTCCTGCCAGCGGGCCTTTGACACTTGAGTGGTCTCAAAGTGCACCTGGCATGGCACAAGTGTCATGGTGACGTCACTTAGTGGTGAACGGCAGTTGTTGTTGTTAATAGCTTGATGACTGTGTGTCTGCTATTGCTAACTGGTGTGTGTTTGTGTGTGGATCATAGCCTGACGGCTGCTTCACGGAAGGGGAGGACCTCAAGCATGATTTCAAGAGGTTGCAGCTGGCCATGGAGATGGTGGGGTTTCTGCCTGCTACGAGAAAAAGGTAATAGTGATCATTAAAATAGCACACAATTTGTCTCGCTTTCCATTAACATATAAAGACACCAGCATTAAGACATTAACACAGTGCTTAGAATGCATACATATTTCCACGCCCATAAGTAAGGGTTGGAATAATTCATCCAGAGCTCGCAGTCCATATTTAGAGGCATACATAATATAAATAACATTTACAGCCCTTTTTCAATTCACTGCTAGATGAAGGCCTCCCCATGCATTGTCAGGTATGGGGTTTGTTTGACCATACTTCACCATGCTGGTTGTTGTGGATTGGGGAAAGGAGGCAGACCAGGTATGGTTCAGATATGACTCGCCACTCATGCTAGCCATGGCTGGGAATTGAACTCGGGTTTGCCGGGTTTATAGCGCAGTGTGCAAACCACTGTCAGCATTCCACTTTTATTTGTTTATCATGAGTTTAATAATACGTAGATATGAATCTGTGAATTGATGAATATGTAGGTATGTCTGTTGAACTTCTTTCGCACTGTACTAAGGAGGTATACAGTGGTTTAAGTGTGAAATATGTTTTCCCAGACAATATATTGTACTTAAAAGTGTATATACACCAATATATACGATTTATAGGGAGTAGTGATTTGCGCAGTTTACTGTTTACACGGCAACTTCATTTCCTGCCCATGGCGAACATCGATGGCGAGTGATGTCTTCCTTCACCAACTTGCACTGACCAGCGTCGTGGTGAAGTATGCTCAAGCAACGTCCATGACCGACATAGCATGGGGAGGCCGTATTCCAGAAAAGTGCTGTGAATTATCGTTGCTATATATTATATAACCATTTGCATACATTTATTTTCTAAATAGTTTTTTTCACCTTGAAAGACTTGATCATAAGTACCACGTACACACCCTGTGCGTCCTTCTTGTGCTGTGCATTGTGTAGGATTTTTATGCTGCTCTCTGCCATCCTGCACCTGGGAAACATCTCGTACAAGAAGAAGCCCTACAGGGATGAGGCCGTGGAGGTTGCCACGCCAGATGTTTTATCCATCCTCTCCAACCTGCTCCAGGTACTTACCGCCGTTATCACAGTGAACAATTTAACCTTTGACCCTTTCAAAATGCCACACGTGTGGGTACGCGCTACATGTGTTTATATGTTACCCTGTAATTTAAGCATCTTGCCTAACTTTTTGAGTATTATTAAAGCCGCTGGGTGACTCAAGGGGATGATGGTTTGGCTGTGCCAGGGACCTGAGTTTAATGCACCACTAAGATCTGCTTTAAATCACCATCGGCAACTAAGTTTTTAATTTTGAGATTGTTAATCTGTCTAAATCTCATTGCATGACGATCAAAAATCAACAACACAACAATCCTTCAATTTAAAATGTTTCAGCAGTTATATTTAGCAAAGCCCAGCTCTAACCGCGATATGTTTGATGTCTGTAAGTTCCAGCTAGCCATAGTAAACTACCTGCTTGTTTACACTGCTGAAGATAGTGCTTGTCTTAGATCGACATTCAAAGGACATTGAGAATATTATCCGATGATGTCACATCCGAGTTGTTACTTGATATATGTGCCTCTGCTTCATAGGGGCTTTTGAAAGTGAATAAAATGCTTTGTGTTGAGCTTCAATAATTTGTGGAAAAAATGGTAATGTTTTGGAAAATAGAATTAATACCCATGGCAAAAATTTTGAACGGTGAACAAAATATGAGAAATCCATAACTTTGATTTGCAAACATTCTATAACCATACTTTGCAAAGGAAACAACAACTCATACAGGTTTTATCTGTATAAAGATGGGGTTTGAACTAACATTTCTGTTGTTTAATAACAGATCAATAACAACAGTAATGTCTTACCTTCCTCAGTCTCAGAGAACGAGACTAAGGGACTATTACCATTCCTCCACTTCTGGGTTACTTTTTGAGTTATATGGAATGAGACTCAGGGATTTTACATGTAAAATGTTGATTCTCTCAGAGCTAAATGAAGATATTCTTAGAATTGCTATAAATATGTCTTGATTCCAGAGTCTCAAAGGATTATGAGATTTGGAGACTTTATGATACCTCCATATGAAAGGCGTTTTTATAAAATAGGGGTTATTACTATATTAACTTACTCACAAAGAATAACTAGGAACCTGAGTTCACACTTGATTATTGCTCATGCATTCAGACTCGGCACTCTTATAGTGTAATAGGGCTCCAGATTAATTATGAAACTTCATAAATTGCAGGCTAAAATACCAGGAGCGCCTTAGGAGTTTATTTCTGAGTTGCTCTAATACGCCAGTGCCTCCGTAAATAATTTAATTTGTCGGCTTTTATTTTGTCTACATTTGTATTGGCTAATCACGGAGATTTTGCGTTCTTACCACAGAATTTCAATGTGTGACCAAAGCCAAAAACACCAAATATGAAGCTATGATTTTTGAATGGTGTTATTGTATCAACATTTTTTGGAAATGCCAAATTGTTTTAATGCTTTGTGATTGTTTACGTTTTTGGAACATTCTTAATTTTTAACATAATGTTCCAAAAATATTGTTGAACCAAAATATGATTGAAATATGGAATATGCTGTTTAATTTATTATTTCTTAGTACTTAAAAAAAAAATGTTGCCATTTCAGTCCTTATAGTAGATTATATGTTCTGCGTTCCATTCCCTATCTATGTCTGTAGTTGTGGTTGGGTCAAAGGAAAATATATGCACAAACTTCAAGGTTATTTGCAACAACAAAAATCCACTTGTAGAAAATCTATTGAGTAGCAATGTATTAGTGTAAATGTGTGGGTATAATAGGGCTGTGGCAAAAACGTTAGGAAATGCAGGTCTTATAACCTTTTGATGAAGCTGCAGCACAACACAATTGTACCACTTATTACGGAGTTTAAGATTTAAAGGAATTTTTAATGAACTGTAAAATGTAACTGTTAGGTTTAACATATTATTTGAGCTTCGGTTGTACTTGGCGTTTTCATGTTCAGTCAGCTTTTACAGTACACTTATCTGCTGAGGCCATGTGAACCACACTTCCTCGATTTAAACTCAAACTACTTGCCACGTGTAAGTTGAGATTGAAAATCGACAGACCTGCTTTTTTTTTACCCATAATAGCTTTACAAATATTGAGGTTTTCTCACTAGCAGGGAGTTCCTGTACATTGAGGAATTCATGCGCTTTGGTTTATTTACACTCCCAAGTACATCAAGCTTGAACAGCTCACTGTGGGGCACTTGAGATGTCACCTGGCCATTGACAGTTTTACTCACACCCCCTCTCTCCTGCGACAGCATCACGAAAACTTCTGCTATCCTCGCAGCGCCTCTTGGCTAGCCACCGAACAAAGAGAGTCACTTGCATCGCGCGCTTTCAGATGCCCTTCTGCGGCCATCTGGAACACTCTGCCTTTGGATGCTAGGAAGCCACTGGAGCTATGCACTTTGAAATCTAGATTGCAAACTATTTTTAGAATAGTTTTTTGGGTTTAGTTGTCCTCCCCCCCACACCTCCGATGTGCACGTCTGGCTACGTACGCTACAAAAGATGTTCAACGTACATGCGTAAGGGAGGAAATGCTTACTGTTTGGTATAGGATGTCTCAAAGCAGTGTCTGTTAACTGGTTTTGAATGCACTATACATACAAACATCCTGTTTATGAATACACTCAGCACATTTGTCAATAACATTGCCTTAAAAGGAAAACATATATAAGAGGTGACGTTTCGGGCGATAAGCCCTTCTTCCCACGTGATTGTTGTTTATGCATTTAATGTTTGACGCACGTGAAGCGTCGCACCTGCATATGGCGAGGGCCACATCATGCCGCCATTTGCCTCGTGTGGAATATCCGGTGCCATTATCACCGTTGGCCTTTGCAATCTATTGCCAGACATGAGCACGTGTCACCATGTCATATGGAAATCATCGTTGAGCAACAACAAATGTCAGTTTTTTTTCCCATTTGCAGTAATCCTTTATTAAAATAGTCACTTAATACATTAATGGACCTTGTGGACCATGTATAACTTTGTTTGCCTTTGGTTGCAGGTCAAGGAAGAGATGCTGACCGAGGCACTGACGACCAGGAAGACGATGACTGCGGGCGAGAAGCTCATCCTGCCGTACAAACTGACTGAGGTGGGCGGTTTCTCTTTGCAGTTCTTGAGATAGTGCCTCAGACTTTCGCAGGTCATTTGCCAGTGGCACACCAAGGGATTTTGCCAAGCCCATAACTTCCTGATTGCTTTACTGCTCCCACGGGAAGCATTTTCAAAATAGCCCTTGTTACGTTCGGCTTGCGGTGTAGCCAGGAAAAGCAGACGGAGAATGATACGGGGGTAGAGAGCAGACTCGGAGATGGTGGGGAGATTTTAGCTGGGAGCTTTGTAGCATATGGCTGGGAATTAATATGTGTTTCTCCGGCAATGTTTGATGATGTTTAGACCTTATCTGTGTTCAATCTGTGGCAGAGGAACGCTGAATGAGTTATGACCAATGGTGGTGGTCCATTTAAACTTGTGATTTTTCTTGGAAAGACTTGTGCGAAAATATGTAAATTATGACTTATCAGGTTTATTTTGGCTGAACATGGATAAAAGCAAAGGCCTCACTATGCGCTTTGCATATGTTTTCAGTATGTATCTTTAGTGGTATTGGTCCCATAGGCAGAGAATATTGAAACTCTTGAAATAGTGTTTGCGGAGGAAGGGGAGAGAGTGTCGCTTTGCAGAAACCCGAATTGAAATGAATAGCCCCTTGTCAAGGTCAGCGTTTTAAATTCACGAATGTTCACCACCGCTGTTTTGTTCGGGGCACATCTCTTTAAAGTCTGCTTAAATGCAAATACGTGTACATATTTGAGTAGGAAATCTTGTTCTGCGTGGCTACGTACCGAGGGTATGGACCTGGTTCTCACATCATTCTCACGCGAGACTGAAAGCGAGACTCGGCTGCCATGAGATTGATAACGATGACCAAGCAACTTGTCTCCGTGAGAATAGGTAGACAATTAAGTTCACGTTGCATGGATGGACTGATTTTGGTCATCGGACTGTGTAATTTCCACGACTGGCTTAAAAGCTTGTAATTTTGAAACTAAAACGTCAGCAGTAGCAGCGCTTAGTGCTCAGAATTGGCAAACCACATCTTGCACGTGACTGTATAAACGATGGGTCGCACTGCCCATCCTACGCCCGCACACTTCCCATCCTACGCCCACACACTGTCCATCCTACCCCCACACACTGCCGATCCTTAACCCGCACACTTCCCATCCTAGCCCCACACACTGCCCATCCTACGCCCACACACTGCCCATCCTATGCCCGCACACTTCCCATCCTAGCCCCACACACTGCCCATCTTAGCCCCACACACTGCCCATCGTTTCCTCATCTACTTCTCACTTTGCCTCATCTACCATGTATCCTAGCTACACCTGTAGCCACATGCACTAGCTTGCATGGCCCGTCAGTGACCCATTCATGCCCATATCTCTTTCACACCACCCCATGCTCAATATTAGCCCTGTTTTTTGATATCCACTCGATTAGTATATTTCTGTCATTCTGTGAGAGTTGGTAATTGCACTCGCATATGTATGCACCTGTACGTTGAAGTGTTTTCGTACCGTGCATAGCTTATCGGAGGTGCACTTAGCACATGCTCATTACATCTACAATCATTGTTAAACTCTATATATTCCTGTGACCTCACTGCCCAAACCTCGGTGCCTTCTCGAACTGCCAGTTGGTGCTTAGTATAGCCCGGTCCCTGGTGTCCTTCATCACGTTTCACTCCGCAGGCCTCACCCATTGCCCTTAGACACACATTCCCATCCCACACAACACAACGCTGCTCCTCTGTTTTGATTTCTGGGATATTTATCTCATGACGCCATGGCCCAAGCAATAAAAAAAAATTGAAGGCTGTTTCCTTGAACAGTTTTTTTAATTGGCCTTCCTTTAGTTGACTACCTTGCCAAACCTACACCCATTCTTGGTCTCTGCTGTTGTACACCGATCATTATTAGCGACTTATTTCTCCACGTTGATGATCTATCCCACTCCACTTCGTTTACTTCCCAGTCAATTCTTGAAACCACTGACCAATCTTCATTCAATATCCAACTCACTCTCAATGTTATGCTCTTGACCTTTTCCGTCTCCAACACAGTTCATTGCTTATGTCCACGTCACCTCATCAGCTACAATTTTCTGCATGACCAAGTACAGTCCTGAATACTGATTGAACCATTCCACTGACTGCCCTTCTTCTGGATGCTATCACCCTCCTCTTCCTCTCCTTTGTTTTTCTACACCTTGCTGCCACTCTTTACACAGCCAACTACTGTCCTAAATTTTGACTTAAAACTTTCGTGACTGCATGAGTTCATACTCTTGGTTCTTTCGGTAAAGTCGCGTAAATAGAAAACAAAAAATAAAAAAAATGAAGTGAAAAAAAATTATAAATAGAAAAGTAAAAATAAAATTGTCATTTTACTATTTCTATATTTTTATTTTTATTGTGCTTTTTTGCTTTTATTATTTTCAATTTACTATTTTTTTTTGTAAATGTTATTTTTTACGTGACTTTACTGAAAGAGCCAAGAATACAACTACTGCCCTATTTCAACGGCTTTCACACTGCGTGTAGGTGTGTGACATACTAATTTCTCTACTGCTCCGCACCCATTCCTTACATGTCTCCATATGAGTTATTGTCAAGAAAACCCTTTAGCTGTGGTGTTCCACAATGATCTTCCTATGGCTCTTTACTGTCAATCTCTATCATTCTATTTTGTGAAACTCATCGCCTTCTCGTATGTTATACCCCCCAGTCCTGTGCCAAGGACACTCAGCTGTACATCCCCATTAACTCCATTAACTTCACCCCATTAACTCCATTAACTTCACCCCTACCGCCTGTACTCAACCTGCCATTGGTACAAACCCACGTTGGATTTAAGCCAACTTTCTACGATTAGGTAAATCCAAGACAGGTCTTCATTGGGAAACAATCAGTAAAGTGGAAAGTGCTATCATACTGAGAATAGGTTTTTCCCTTTTTTTCTGGCAACAAAACTTGTGTTAAGATGTTAAAACACCAAACTGAAACCTTTTACAAGGAATCATGTCTGCATTAACCACAATATTTGTGGTTAGAATGCAAAACAAAAAACACCGTTTGAGACGAGGCTCAAAAGAAAGCTGTCTCTGGTGTGGACCAATCAGTTTCAAAGACAATGCATTTATTATCAGAGTATGTTTTTTGTTTGCATTCTGACCACAAGTATTGTGGTTAATGCAGACATGATTCCTTGTAAAAGGTTTAAGTTTGGTGTTTTAACATCTTAACACCTGTTTTGTTTGCCAGATAAAAGGGGAAAAACCTATTCTCATATTTTGGTTCTGGCAAACGAGGTCCCGTAATGCTATCATACGTTTCTGAAAATAAGACATCGAACTTGCAAAGAGTATTTTCAGACTTGGAGTAATTCTTGATCCAACTCTCTCCATCTCTCAAAAAACGTATTTTTGTCACTTTCGCATCTGCATGTAGTGTGCACATTTATGTTGAACTTATTTTGCCCCGTACGTAGCCAACCGTGCTAATCGGACATGTAGAGGGAAGGACAACAAACTAAACGCAAAAGGCAGTTTTGAAGAAATTCGTTTTTAATCTAAATTTAAAAGTGCATAGCTCCTGTGGCTTTCTAATATCGGAAAGAAGAGCGTTCCAGACGGCCATAGAAGCAGATCTGAAACAGTGTGATGCGGTGACCATCTTTGTTCTGAAACCACTGTCCATATATTTGTCAACTTTATTTTCCTTGGCATTGTTACCTCTCTTGCTTCCAAGACCACAAATTATCAAGAATGCTGCTGCCAGATTTCTCACCCACACTCATAAAGGAGACCACAGTCATCACGCCCCTTCCCTTCGTTGACTTAACAATAAGTGATGTGATCGATCACAATATCACCCTTTGCAAGATCCTCCGCAGTTTTGACCCCACCTACATTTTCTATATAATTTCACCATACACCCCCTCCATACGTCTCTGTACCAGTAACCAAGGCCCTCTGTTGACATCCACATCCAGCCTGTTTCGAAACGATATTGTTGTGTTTTTTTCCTGACAGCCCATGGTGTGGAGAGGGCACTTAATAATGCCATGGAATACCAGCAGTGTTTGTTTAGCACACGTTGACTGCTGATGACTCCCAGAAAGGTTAAACGGGTCCAGAATGTACATGTCTTTAAACAAATGCTGCTGGTTAACATACGTCTGAAAAGCCAAGAGGCTAAATGTTATTTTATTTTTACGTGGAGACACAGAACAGAATAATATTTATGTAATTGTTCTGCTCAATGGGGGAGGTTACTCCTCAGCTGCCCTTGCTATGTGCAATTGTCTCCCACTCGCCATTAACCCTCCTGACTTCCTTCCCATGCTCATCTTCCACTTAGACTCTTCTTTGTACTTTTCCTACATCTGATTTTTCTCTATCACCAATACTAATTTCCAGCTACAATACCTTCTTGTTTTGTTTGCTTTCTCTACAAAACCCCTACTCGCTTCTCAAAACATTCTTGCTCCCATGATAAGGAAAACTCCCCTTTCTTCAAAACCGTCACCTCCTAAAAATCAGTTGACCGCCTGAGGGCAGGGCTCATCGTGTTTAGTGATGGGCTTTGGAAGGGATAAACGCCCCACCTATACGAGTGCTGTCTTTTCCAAGAGCGTTCGAATGTTAATTATAAAGTTACTTAACACGGCATGGAAAGATTGACAAGGTCTGATAATTGGTTCTTTACCCTTCTATCTGGCAACAAAACTGACACCTTTTTTTTGCCAGATAGAAGGGTAAAGAACCAATTATCATATTTTTACTGGCAAATGAGGTCCCCATAGTATTGACAAGGTCGTTAAGCAGTACTTATTTTGATTTCCCTCACCATTCAATAGAGTTGTGTAGTATAGGCGAATGAAAAGCAAAGCACCTTTGACGGTGTATAAAATGTAAAATAAAATTACGATTGCTCCTGCTGTTACAACGTTTTAGCAATGCGCATAACACTGGGGTAGACATTGTGAAACGTACATTATTTGAATTGACATGAAGATCTCTCTT